GTTTTGTTGAGCCATGTGCTTAAACTCTTAAAGGTAGTAAAATCAGGTGACTTTAATTTATGCTAATATATGGTAATTGCCGAATATCTTCTTTATACATAAATTCAACTGAAACTGAAAAATTGCAGAGATTTACATGCATCCTGTCTTCATTTGAATGAATGATTGTTGACACAGTGGTTTGAATTCACTTCCCAGTGTGCACGAGGCACTTGCTTTCTTCTCAGGAGCATTGGACATCCAGTAAGGGCAACCCCTAGAAATGTGGCAGTCTGTACGACTGTAAAGATTCTGTACGACTGTAAAGATTCAACTCGATTCAGAAGCTGTAAATTGCATGGGAGGATATTGCCCATCTCTTTCCCATTGAGCGGCTGGTGGATTCAAACCACATACCTTTGGGCTGGCAGTGCAGCTCTTTACCCACTAGGCCATGAAGGGAAAAATCCCCAAGAGAGTTCTACCCTGTCTCATAGGGTTGATACGAGTCAGAATCAACTTGACGGCACTAAGTTCTAGATAGCAGCAGTCTCTGTAGGGGCAAATGTTTGACCCCAAGTCAGTGAAGCTCCCTTGCATCATCATGAAAGATATTGTGTCACCTTATTAATAATTGACGGGGGTCCGGACAGTGGGGTGCAGAATATATGGGGCTGTAACCAGCAGTCAGCATTTCAAATCCACCAGCAGCTCCATGAGAGAAAGATATCCTGCAGTAAAGCACTGAAACTTCAGAAGCTCATTGGAGGGTTGTCAGGACTGATCACTCTGGGTTTGTTTTTATTGGTCGATTAATAATTGAAGGAGTTTGCCACTTCCTAAGGAGCCTTGGTGGCGTTGTGGCTTAAGTGTTGGGCTGCTCACCTAAAGATTCTACCATGTCCTACAGGGTCTCTGTGAGTCAGAGTCAGCTCAGTGGCAGTAGGTTTGATTTGGGGTTTTTATTGCTGTTGTTATTGTTGCTTCCTGCTGAGTTTTGTGTGTGATTGTGGGTTATAAGCCTATGCTAAAATCTCAGGGGGAGTTAATGTTATCAGAATACAAAAGATATGTGCCTATTTTAATTCTGACTCCCTAAGGTTATGTTCCTGTATGTGTTTTCATCAAAAAATATCATCACTGGGTATATCAGTTCCCTTTCTTTGTTACAGCATGTGCTTGAGTCACCTGGCCCCTGATGCAGTGTGTTTATCTGTCAAGTGGCCGGGCGAGACCAAGGTTCCAGTTTATGGGATACAGAACCATGTCACATGCAGGGTGGTAAAGGAAGTTGCAGAGAGCCACACAACAGAACAGGGAACCAGGGGCTGAGGAAGTGGCTGGCTTTCTAGTCTTTTGGAATTCATCAGATCTCTTAAATCAAGTCTCAGTTCTCAAGCATGTCTCATACTTGTTTAGAGCATTGGTGATTCAGTGGTTGAAAACTTGACCTTTATGCTAGAGACCTGGGTTCAGTTCTGAGTTAGTGCACCACTTCATCCACAGCCGCAACCACCACACATCTGTCAGAGGGTTGCATGTATCCATCCAATGGAGCTTTTACTCCAAGAAGGCTGGGAAGAAATACTCCATCTAGTTCTGATAATCAGCCAGTAAAACCCTATGGATCACAATGGTCTGATCCCAGTGAATCATGGAGGTGGCCCAGGGCCAGTGTTTTTTCCATTGACCTTGAGGTTCCCAGAAGTCATGGCCAACTCTAGGGCCATTAACAGCACCAGCAACGTTTACATGTCCTCTAAGAAAGATAAGTTCTTTGGCTCAGACCTTTTCTTCTTATGGTAATGTAGAGCTAAAACTTAGCATTATTGCTTAGATTCTATGTGTGTTCCCTCCAAACTACTTGCGTTTGTAAATTTTCAAACCTACAGAAGTGAGGATATAATCACACAATGACACCACCTGCCCTTCACCTAAGAGGACTTAATATACTCCATAACTGTAACTGTGATTGGTGGTCCATAAGCAACACTTATTAAACAATAAGAATTCTAAACAATGTTTTTTAGCCAGTCCTAGCCCAGTTTACTCATGTAAATAAAGCTGGATTTAAGGAAAACAGTTTTATTCTAATGGATAGACTAAATTTTTTTAATAATTTACCTTAAACAACATAGATGAAGAACACCATAATAGGAAATTTTCATTTGCTTTTAATCACTATGACTGGATCATTCTATGATTAGGAGCTTATGTGGCATAGTGTGTTAATATGTTACACTATTAACCAAAAGGTCAGCAATTCAAATCCACCAACTGCTCCATGGGAGAAACTGTCCAGCGTCCTCCTGTAAAGATTTACAGTCTCAAAATCTGATGGGAGGGTCGCTATGAGTCAGAATGGCTTAACGACAGTGAATTTTGTTTTGATACCATTTGTCATATTTATCACATTTTATAATCCAGTAACATTTCAAAGGAGTATTTTTCCCAGCAACTTTTATATAAAACAGACAGAGCCAAGAAGCTGGCAGTTAATAGGCAGCAGAGAACACAGAGGCTCTCTCCAGAAGCTCAGGATGTTTAACTCAAAAAACCTCCAACTCATTGTGGTAGAGCTGAAGCCAACGGTAGCTGTCCCTTCAGCAGGTTTTGGAGACAGTAAAATCACACAGGAGGCGATGGTCCATCTTTCTCCTGCAGAGCTGCTGGTAGATTCACCTCCAGAGAGGGGACACCGTAGGGTCAGCAGTACAGCACCCTACAGTCTACACCGTCGACTCATAGCTGAACCTCCAAAAGGTTTCAGAGGCAATACATTGCACTGAAGAAGGAAAACCTATCTTTCTCCCACAGAGCAGCTGGTGGATTCGAACTAGATACCTTTGGGTTGGCCATACAACTCCTTACCATTATCACTTCATGCTGGAATTCCATGCACCTCTGACTCAAAATTGAAAGAGAAAAATGAGATTTCTCAAGCTGTCAAACCCCAGAAACCAGAAGTTCCAGTCACCCACCTGAGCAAAAGGAGACCATGGGGAAATGACTCTGGCGTGGTGAATTCTGTGAGCTCCCTATGGAAATGTATACCAGGGGGAACCTTAAACACACACACACACACCCAACAACAAAGAACTAACCAGTTCTCAAATCAGTTGTGTTTCATGGCAACCCTATGTGTATTGGAGTAGAATGGTTCTAGACTGAGCTGACTTTTTCGGGTCTCCAGGACTTTCCTCCAAGGCACCCGTGGGTCGCCTTGAATCACCAACTTGTTTATTAGCAGCCAGACGTGTTAACACAGTTTGCACCAGCCAGGGACATCATCAGGACCCTGGGTCACAGGGAAGGGGAGGACAGTCAGTCAGCTCCTGTGGCTAGACACTCCAGTTTGAGAATCTGACAGAGCCCAACACCAGTACCTATTAGCTGCGTGGCTTTAAGTAAACGACTTCATTTCTGCAGTCCCTGCTTCCAGCTCCTGTAAATTAAGGACATAAATATCCACTTTATAGTGTTAGAAGCAATCCCAGATGCAGGCTGAGCACCACGCCTGGCAGGTTGTGAACTCAGTAAATGGGAGCTCACCACGCTCTCACCTGATCTCTCATCTTGCTTCTTTCTGAGACTGTGAGCATCTTTGTAACCATGACTGTATTAGAAGTGACCTTGCCAGACTTCCCTGGAACCCTTCCCAAGGGTTTTCACTGCATCAGCATTGAGTGTTTCATGACTGTTTGTGGAATGAATGAAGGAGTCAGTACATGAGGGAGCACCTGCCGCCACGTGGCAGGTGACTTTATGCTGTGTGTTGGGTTAGTCTTCTGACAAAAGGCTCCTTCTAGAAGAGGGGTCCTTCTTTGATAAACCTGGCCCGCCCTGTCTGTCAGACACTGGGATGGCAGCAGGTCTGTGGAACTGTGCATGCATGATGTGATTTCTTGCCCTGGTAGCTTACTGGTAAGGAGTTGCTCTGCCAAATCCAAGCCACACAGTTCGAATCCTCCTGCTGCTCCAAGGGAGAAAGGTAGGCAGACTCCTCCCGTGTGATTTACTGCCTCCGAAAGCCCAGTGGAGGTTCAGCTAACCACAGCAAACCATCGAAGCTTGAGCTGCTGGGACTGTCTCTTGAGCAGTGCGTTGTTTTGGCATCTCGGCCACACAAATCATGTGACCACACCACCAGTGAGGGAAGAGGGGTGCGGTCGACTTGGGTGTCAGCATTCAGGATTCTGCCTTCTGAGCAGATTACCTGTGGCCCAGAGGTCTCCAATTGGTTGTGTTTAAGGCTCTACAGAAACCACAGACAGGCAGGCGGCTGGTGTCTTCTCCACACATCCAGAACCCACCGTGCTGCTGTGGAGTTGATTGTTCCTCATAGAGCTGCCATGAGTTACAAAGTGACCTCTGTTTTTCTAGAGATTCTGGGAATTTCTAGAGATTTCTAGAGAATCTTTCCTGAAAGCAGCTCTGATGACGTGGTGTGTTGTGCTTGTGCTGCTAACCTAAAGGTCTATGGTTTGAATCTGCCAACTGTGTTGAACTGTCTCCTCCTGAAATTATTCAATTATTCACAGCTTTAGAAACACAGAGTGTGTGTGTGTGTGTGTGTGTGTGTGTGTAGGTGGAGTAGGGTCATTGCTCAAGAAAAGATCAAGTCATTGGTTTGTTGTTGTGTGCTGTCAAGTCTGAACTGACTCCTAGTTGACTCACCAACATGTTTACAGAGGCAGTAAATCACATGGGATGAGATTGCCCATCTTTCTCCTTCAGAGCAGCTGGTGGTTTCAAACTGCTTGCCTTTGGGTTGGCAGAACAACTCCTAACCACTCGGCCACCAGAGCTCCCTGGTTGTGAGTTGTTGTGTTTTACTTGACTGACTCCTTCCAGAAGCGGATGGCCAGGCACCGCTGGGTGAGTTTGAACTACCGTCCTTTCTCTTAGTGGCAGAGCACACACAACCCGCTCGCCCCACGTAGGGACCTCCCGGTCAGTATCCATGGGTATCTAATCCGTGTCCCTTTGTGTCTCCCCCCCTGCCCACTGCCCACCTGCAGGAACGGCCTGGCTGGCTGCCGGCTGCGGACTGAGAGCGAGCCATCGTGCGGCTCCCCGGTGGTCAGCGGTGACCCCAAGGAGGACCACAACTACAGCAGCGCCAAGGCCGCCAGCGCCCGCAGCGCCTCGCCCGCCAGCGACTCCGTGTCCTCCTCCTCGGCCGATGACCACTACGAGTTCACGGGCAAGGGCGCCCCGGAGGGCAGCGAGGGCAGCTTCCAGAGCCACGAGAGCCACAGCGACACGGAGGAGGATGACAGGAAGCACAGCCAGAAGGAGCCCAAGGAGGCCCTGGGCGACAGCGGCTACGTGGCCCAGCACAGGAAGCGACAGCACCTGGCCAAGGCCAGGAAGGTCGCCAGCGACACGCTGCCCCTCAAAAAGCGACTCACGGAAAAGCCCCCTGAGAGTGACGATGAGGAGATGAAGGAGGCAGCCGGGTCCCTGCTGCACTTGGCCGGGATCCGGTCCTGTTTAAATAACATCACCAATCGGACGGCAAAGGGGCAGAAAGAGCAAAAGGAAACCACGAAAAATTGAGAGAAACGAGTCACCGATTTGTTTTGAACTTCCAGCCATTTGGTTTCAGCATGTCAGGAGATTTCTAATGATTTGTGGCAATATCAGCAATTTATTGATTTTTTTTTCTTTTTCTTTAGTTTGGTTTTCTTTTTTGTTCTTGTTGTTCCTTTTCTTTTTATTTTTAATTTGCCCCTCACCTTTGTTTTGGACCCTTAAAAATTTTATTTTTAAAGGAGATTGAAGCCATAGAACTCATATTGACACTCAGCTATTTTACACAAAAAAAAAAAAAGGAAAAAAAAGCTTTTCATTCTCTGAAGACAAAACCGAAAAACCAGGAAAAGAAAGCAAGAAAGAAAAAAAAAAGCCAAAATGAGCGTTGCTTCCTCCAGCTTGTCAAAAACATGTGGCCGAACCCACAGGGATGTCACTGTTCGTACGAAGGAGGCACGCGTGGCGAACAGTCACCATTCAGGCCCAACCCTCAGGTTTAAAAAGTCAGACCAGCCATCTGATTGGGGTCCCTGAGGGGAGATGCAGGAAGTGACTGGGGGACCGAGCGAGGTCCCTCATCCCCCAAGGAGAAGGCCCCCACTTGTGGCAGTAGGCATCAAATAATTGTGCCAGGAAGGCGTTTGGGGGGGACGGTGGGGCAGTCACCAGACCTCTGTGTTTAACCTTGAGGCCTGGGGTCACACCACAAGGTGGATGCTGAACTGTTGGTATACATCAGGTGGCTATGAGTCGTGAGAAGAAAATGGGATAAATTGTTAGTGATGTTGCTCATCCTTGAATTCTGTCCTGTAGTAAAGTCACAGAATGTTCTAGAAGCCATAAGCCTGAAGGTTGGCCCTGCACACAGACACACACATACGCGCACACACATACGCGCACACACACACACACACACACATACACATACACACACACACACGAGAAAACAAGCTCTGTCTTCTTAACTGCCCAAGTGAAAAGCAATCGAATCCAAGAAGTTAGACTTAGCTGTTAAGGAAAGGGAAGATGGTGCAGATCTTTTTCTGTCTCATCAAAAGTATTTGACCCAGGTGGGAAAAATAAGAGAAAACAAAAGCTATAAAACCTGCCATTCAGTTTTATGGTGTAATTTTGAAAGGTTTAAGGTGCATTCTTCATGGACAAAAGAAAAACATAACTAAAAAAAAAAAATTAAAAATTCAGTTTAAACTCCTTATATGGAGCCCACAATATGGAGTTTGCAATTAACATTAGACAGGATTCATTCTTTGCAAAAACCAGTGATTTCCACATTCAGCCAGTGTAGCCGGCAGAAATTTCTGACCCACAATGCATGGATTCCTTGGGAAAAAGAAAAGGAAGAAAAAAAAACAAACCACAAACTTTTTCTTTTTATTCAAAAAAATAACAAAGTTCGTGTAAGGTAAATAATGTATTTAGCATGAAGCATGAATTATTTTCATATAAATATAGAAACTAGAGAAAAGGCTATGCCTCTAATTTTTAAACCCCTACGCTTAGGCTTTCTTTGGGTTTTCTCTTTGTTTCTTTTTTTTTTTCCCTCCCTTTCATTTCTTTAATTTGTTTTTTTTTTTAATTTGTTTTTCAGTTATTTTGGTTTGGTTTTTCTTTTTGAAGCAGATGTTTAAGGTTTAACCTTCTTCAGGGACAAATTCTGACTGTTGGGGAACTTCCTTTGCAATATAAAAATCTCTTCATGCTCTGGTAGGGCTTGGATGGTGGGTCTCTGTACTGCCTTGTCTGCATTCAGCCCCCAGCCCCCTCTGAGTCTCTGTTTTTAAAAGTGTGTCCTTTCTCTTTGTCTGTACATGTTTAACGTGACGCAATAATTTGAGGGCAGACTCAGTAGTGAGTGTGTGTGATAAGTTCGAAAGAATCATGGGACGCTGACTTGAGAAAATCGTGACTGATTGGGTTTTAGCAAAAAGGCAGTGGATACTTATGCAAATTTGCCAGGAGAAGGGGAGACATGCTAATGGGCCTTATGGGATGAGGGTAGGAAATAGGGTACACCTTATGGAGGAAGTGATACAGGTGCCAGAAAGGCCAGCCCCCCACGTCTTACTGTGACAGTGCCATTTTGCAGTAGGAAGAAAGGGCTGGCCATCCCTATCACTGCAACACAATGAAAACAAAATGTGCAATGCAAACCACCTAGATTGTGAGAGCTGAATTCAGATCAGCAGACAGTGTCATGCAGACCAGAAATACCTGTTTCCTTTGCCTGAGGCGGGAGGGGAATTTGGAGGTCTAAAGGGACTCTTGATAAAGAACATGATCTTCCTTCTAAATGGAGGGAAATTTTAAAACTGAAAAGACCGCCATGATGCCTCAGGATAGGAGGATGGGGAGATAGAGGGAACCGGGTGATTTTGAATTTGAAACAAGATATTTAGGGGCACAGAACAAACCTATTTGCCAGCACCACAAGGTGTTAGAAACCTCTTGCATCAGGACCATGGACACTTACTGGTGCAGACCCCATCATCTTCCTGTGGGTTGTTGAGAGAACCTAATGCAGCCTACTCTTACACAACAGGTCAAATTAAGTTACCTCGACCTGAATACTCCTCCACCCAGTGATAAAAACAAAACACCAGTTGCCATGGAGTCGTTTTCAACCCATGACAGCTGATTCTGTGTGTGCTCCTTAGGGCTCGCAGTGGCTCTGTTTTCAGATGTCAATCACCAGGCCTTCCCAAGCGGCTGTAGGTAAAATCCAGTCTACCTTTTGGCTTAGCTGCTGAATGCAGTAACTATTTGTACCACCTGCACCTGGATACTTCCAGCATATTTACTCAGGCCACAGGTGAGAAGACAGGTGTGTTTTTAACATGCTCTGTTCTTTCTGTCTCCTCACACCTCTGAGACCCCAAAAGCCAGCCACAGCAGTGGAACCTGGGCAGCACCAAGTTATCAGCTAACCAAACCCCACCAGACTCCCTCGAGTTCACTTCTCTCCTGGTGGCAGAATTCCGACTCCCTCCTGACAGGCACAGGTTGCAGGCTGTCTGCTGACACTCTTCCTATTCAAGCACCCCACAGTGGGTGTCTCCCCTCATTTCAGTTTTCTAAAGGGGCCAAGGCCCCTTCTAGAAAAAAAAAATGCAATGTGTGTGATTTACTTTTCTGATCTTTTTTGAGAAATAGAGAAATATAAAAGTGCGTTCTTAACTCCAGAACCACTCTTTTTGCATAAATACCTCATCGGGCAGCTTTCTAAGTGTTATTTTCAACCAAGTCTCCCCGGGCACCCACGTTGGCTCTTCTGGAAGACTTGTCGGGGGGACTCTTTAGCAAGGGTACTTTTTTCTCTTTTTTCCTTCTGTTTTTGGAGGCATACACATTCTGCGTATCCAAAACAACGGCTCAGTTGCATTTTAACTGTGTTTTGATGTTGACAAAACAAAACAAAAAAACAAAGTACCAATGTGTATGTGGCCATTTGTGGTGGATTCATTAGCGCCATGAGGTGTGGGTCCACTCTCCTTAAGCCAAGGGGCAGGATGCACCCTCTCTCACCCCCTCCTCCAAGAGCAGTAGAAAATTTAAGCACAAGCCTCTTTGTGAAAGACTATTTTGCTTAAGTGTAATTCACTTCTAGTCTTGGAATTCCTTCCCAAATGTCCGGCTGTTCTTCACAGCTTCCAAATCAACCTGTATACATCCATCCATTAGTCCGACCGACCCTGCACTCCACAAAGGGTTGGGATGTTTTCACTTTCATTTCTCCTGTGGGGGAAAGTGACATTTCATGTGTCATTCCAGAATCTCACATCCTCACCTGGGGTGGGGGGGAGGGGACAGTGGGGAACTATAGCAATATTTAAAGATGCTTTTGAAAACAACCATGACACACATCAAGCACCATGACATCTACAACTACTTGCTATTGGCCCTCGGACACTTAAGAGACTGTAGATCTTCCTTCTTAAATGCTATACACATAGACAGTTCTTTTTTAATCCTATTACAGATGTCTTTTATCTTTATCTAGTACGTGGAAAGGGTTTGCATCCTAGATATTTTTTTTTTCTCCCAGCCTTATAATCTACCATAAGCTCCTACTTTCCTTCCCTCTCTCTTAATCTGTAGACATTCAGGAGTTCTTTGGTAAAGCTGTCTCTCTGAAATGAAAATGATCCAAGCCCGCACTTTAGATGGTGGTGTCAGAAAACCAGGGCCAGGTCAACGGGGGGGCAGGTTTCGTTCTTGGGGATGAGATTTTGAGCAGGCATGGGTTTTAAAGGACTTGCTCGAAAACTGACTTTGCTCGTAGAGGTGATCAGGGTGTGTGTAGTCCTGGTTGAGCTTAGAGGTCACAGTTACTCTGAGCCCCTGGGAACAACTGCAGGTCATGGTCCATTGAGTGAGGAGTGGTAAGATGGCCCCAGTGCCCAGCTCAGAGTCCTCCCAAGACGTCAAGACTGCTCAGCTCACGTGCAAACAGCCTCAAGTTCCTGTAACCCCACGGTATGGGCCTCTAGCTTGTCCCTGAAAGGGCTCTTTGAGACAGAATCAAAGTTGTATCTAAAAGAGAGGGTTTCTGAGATGGGTTTGGGTTTGATTCAGTGTGATTTCTTTCCCCTCCCCACTTTGAACTTTATTCAGGTTAGAACTGGTTTCTTTGTGGTGGATCACAGCTGCCCAGATGTTTCTTTAGGTTTCTGTAGACCCAGCATTTTCCTTTCCTCTTCAGGCATTTAAGCCGCCAAGAGAAAGTTTCGACCCATAACCCCCTCTTGATTGTGGCTCACCAGTGTTGGCATATAAGTCCTTAGTGTCCTAGGTCCCAGCCCTCCAATACTATATCAAACACTGTTATGCACATAAATGCAGCACTGTGATCTAATTTAAATAATACTTTTTTATTATTTATACTACTATATATAATATACATCAACACTTTTGCTATATAACCTAAGTGATAACCCTCTTTTGAGTTACCTGCCAGACCTCTGGACTTTGATTTCTAGCGCAGTTAACACAGTTACAAAGTTGTA